CTAGTTTACTTCACTTTTTCAAACCGGAGTACCTTTTTGCGAAGCAACCGCAGCCTGAAGGTTAAAAATGGAGCAAATGTGCAAAATAACGCCACGGCCATGAATTCCAAGGATATGTAATCAAATCGAAAGATCCATTGATTTTTGCAAATTCGAAACGATGCCTCCTTGCTTCCCCCTGTTGAATTTCCTCCTCTCCCTCGGGAACGTTCAAAAGAGCCACTGGAACTGGAATTTGGATCCGGACGCATCGGATCGGCAAGACAGGAGAACAACTTTCCTAGCAAGCTTTCGTTCACGGAGATTTGGAGATGGATTTTGAGATCTCATGGGAATGTAACTAACTCCCATCGCACGAAAATACGCTCCTCGAGTCACTCGGCGGGTCTCTCAAGAAACGGACCAGAGGAACGTCGCCGCAGCATGGGATTCGCCTTGCACGAACGAGCGACGACGAGTAGCGACGAATACCAGCAGTGAGCACTGATGGGAAGGACTCCAATCGACTAATAGCAGTTTCAAGTAACATTTATGTATTTGTTACTATTACGAGTTAATTTGTACAGTATTTAAAAATTTGCAGATTGTTCAATTTATCCTCCATCTGCGTTGAACGTGACTGCGTGCGCGAGGGCATCGCCTAGAGTCTTCGCTTATTGTCTTCGCAGTGAGGTGTGAAGCAGAGGAGGGAGAGAAAGGGACCTTTCTTGCGAAAGAATGCTAATCGTTACAGGGATTCGTCACGTTCCATGACGATGACTCATTCGTCACACAGAACAAGTAATTTCCAGTACTCTATCAGTACCTTTTTGTACGAATTCCTGTAGCGCACCGGAAACTCCACGCAACAAAGCCACGAAGTATCTGATTGGAAAGAAAGTTCTCGGAATTTCATGAACAATTATTTGTACTGGATATTCAAGAAATTCCGAGAACTTTCTTTCCAATCAGATAATATATACTGTACGAGTATATATAATCATTTAAATGAACTGCGTTGCGGAAGACCCTTCCACTCGTGTCGGAGGATCGGAGCACGTGCCGGCATCCACACGTGTTGATCGCACGCAAGATACATAGAATAACCAGACATGCCTAGCGGCTCACGCGCTTTGGCGGCGAAGGATGGAGCGCAGTTACTGGAGGAACGTGCACGCACGTGAAGTGAGACCATGCAGGGATGGGACCCCTCTTCAGCTCTCCTCCATAGAGTGCGGTCATGCTGGATGTTCGTTACAGCTCCTAAGATTTTAACTTCACCCGTTATTTGGCGAGTATTTGTGCTTGGGGTTAACGAAAAGATATCCAGGATCGCATGAGGCTCAACCTGCACTTCCATCACCAATGTTTATGCGCTGCACGTTAGCCTATTCATCGTGTGATGTATAGTTGCCTCTCTCCTACCACGTAGAGGTTTGCATACGGCTTTAGGAGAGTCAACATCCAAAGAGAAACCACAAAAAGAGAGGGTAATTGGCAGTACAGGTTGAATGGAATTCCTCTGATTTTAGCACTTTACCTTTTCAATATTTTCATTTATGTCCATTTCCTCCTTCCGTTTTCAGTTTCGCTCTCAGCATACAGCCTTTTCATGCGGAAATATGTCCTGGTGCGGGCAAAGAGCTACAAGGCCCCATTCGGAATCTCGGAGTACTTGCCTTGCAAATGAAAAAAAAAAAACAATTCCGAAAATAAATCCATGCTCAAGGTGCAGAGGTGCAGTGAGGCATTGTGGAATAGCTGGTTTCTTTTGAACCTTGTTCTTGTGATCCCCATCATAATCAGTGAAGCGGAAATTATTCGAGAAAACAAAGCTCATTGCTTTATTCTGTAAATCTGTTCGGCCGAAAGCCGAAAGCCATTCGTATCACATGTTTTGGAACTCTATGGAAGGTGATGGGAGGATCATGATTCCTCGTGTCTCTCCATGTATTTTTGAATCTAGATACAATGCCCGATTATCCGCTGCTTTCTTCGATTTCTCGAGTGGCAGCAGGTAGACGAGAGAAAAGAAAAAACGCCACGAGAAACAAAGGAAACGAAAAGAGAGAACGAGATTGTGATTGCGTCTACCGTCTGCGGCGCAGGCAGAGGGAGGGTCACAGCTAGTCCGACCTCCTCCAGAGCTCGAAATGGAATGAATGAAGTGAGCGCAGTCGCGGCCTTTTATAGCGCGCAGTTACGAGCGAAAAATGTTTTCACGCACCAAGCCTCTCTGGAGAGCCTTGGATCGCACGTGCGCACGTGCCCGGGTGCGGGAATCGCCTGGGGCCTCGATCAAGACGCGTCGACTCCATCTAGTCGACTCTGTGGTCTCCCCTGTTCCCTGCCGGCAATTACTCTCTCGATGTATTTTAATATCATATTCTCACTTGCTCCTTAAATTTTCATACGGTTTGGGGGTTATGTATCACTTTAGGAAACGTTCTTAGTTCGTGAAGCGATTTAAAATAATTAAATCCGAAATATTATATTTTAAATGTTGACTGAAATTTTTGGGAAATTTTCTGAAATTTTCAAATACTGAAATTTGAAGAATCCGACATCGAAAAATCTGAAGAGTAAAGCAAATTGTAATTAGGTGCGAGAAATGCAAGACCTCTGCGCGGCCAATCATCGACGCCTTGTCCTTCGCCAGCTTGTCTCCGATCGACCTTGAGAGGAAAATCGGGTTAATTTCGTAATCGCTGGGCAGCCTTGCCTTTCGCGTCGCGTCCGCATTGTAGCTGTGGTTGGCCGTGCCCTCGGATCGTCCGGTTTCCATCCGGTTCGAGGCGGAAAAATTGCGAAAGCGTTTCATTGGGAGGTAATTCCTTTTTTTTTTCTTTCTTGGGGGGCGATTAGCCGAGTGCTTCGCTGGATGCAGATTCTCGAAGCTTTTTTTTTTTTTTTTTTTTAGGGTG